AGCCCCCTGGAGGCCGGCCCAGGAGGGAAAGGTAGCCAGCGAAGAGGTCTGGAGGCATTCTCCTCTCCCCGTTTGCAGGGGACAGACAGACCCAGCCCAGGGAACACCAGAGGGGCTTCTGGAGGAAATGGCTCAAGCAAAGCAGGGGCGACAGGGAGAGAGAGTCACTTTTTAAAGCATGGCTGGGGGGAAAGCTAGAGGTGTTGTCTGCATGCGAAGGGGCCTTCACCTCCACCCCCAGCTCCCCTCGACCAGGCCGATCTGTATATAATCCTTGTTCCCCATCATCAGCCTCCACACCCTTCCCCAAACCACCCCCAGGCCAGGTCCTGTTCTACCTGCCGGTGCCCTCACTGCCCCTGCCGGCCCCGCTGCCCCTCCCACAGACCCGGGCAGCTCTCGCAGACCACACTGCTCGGCCCCAATTACCAGGTGTTGCAGTCTCTCGAGAGAGAGGCGCCCGGAGGGTACCGCTTCCCAGAATGTACGCAGGAACACTCGGCACTTTCCACACAGCGGCCTTCCTCAAGGAGCTGTCCCTCTGGGTCAAGGGGAACAAGGCAAAAAGACTCAACCTTGGCATCATCATTATTCATCTCACAACCACAGAAGCCCCCGGGGTGATCATCAACTCAGGGCTTCTTGCAGGAAGCTCAAAGGTCTCGTTCTGATGCTTATCTTTCATGGTTTGCAATGAGAGCGAGGAGGGCTATTTATCTCCACTCTAGTGATGAAGAAATGGGGGAAACAGGTTTGTTCAAAGGCCTTCCAGTAGGGAAGCCGTGAGTCTAGCCTGTAGGCTTCTTCCAGGAAGCTCAAAAAACCTGTGCTATGTTTATCTTTCACAGCAATGCAGTGGGAGAGAGGGGGAAGATTATTTATCTCCATCCTATCAGATGAAGAAACGGAGGCAAGGGTTTTGTTTCAAGTTCCTCCAGTAGAGAAGTCGTGAGTCAAAACACACAAGACTCACTCTCAGTACTTAACCAGAACTTTTCACCAAAGCTCACAAGGTCTCTCCTGAGAAAGACTTCCTGATGCAAAGTTCTTTTTCAGCTGAGCTCACACGACAAACCTAGGAAACAGTTGAGACTATCTTTCTCCCAGACAATTCCCTGACGCTTAACTGAGAAAACACTGCAGCTCAGATAGGGCCACGTGCTCCCCAAACAAAGTCATTCTTGGAGCCCAGACCATCCTTCTATTCCCCAGACACACGTGCTTTCACGGATACAGTGCAACAGGAAAACATAAATTAGAAATAAATAACAGCTCGATCCTCATCACTCCATACAATGACTTTTAAAAAATAAATCAAAGGCCTCTGATGTCGGCAATGGGGGACAAGCACAAGTGGCCTTCATCTGGCTTCCCCAAGCCAAGGGCACCGGCGAGGTCTCAGATTTGTAAATAAAGTGGGAAGTCATTACCAGGGCAGCTGCAGCCATCCACGCACTGCTGCTGACACACTTCATTGATGTGCAGGCTCTGGCAGTTTCTGGGGCAGGGGGACACGCATGCCTTGTACTCCATGCCCGCGGGGCAGTCTGGTCCTGAAATGGAAAACCCAGGAGTCTGCCTGGAGCTGTTCCCTTCCAGGGCAGCATCTCACAAGCCACGTGGTGCTCAGAGCCCCTGTGCCCCCTTTGTCTGCCCCCCTCTGTCTTCAGGGACCCAGGGGCCATCTCCACCTCAGTGGCTCCCCAGGGGCCAACGTCCCCGGCTGAAAATGCAAGGCCCCCAAGGCCAAGCAAGGGGTAAATGGTGTCCTCCATCCCATCCCTCCTCTGAGGGTTCCTCTTCCCCAAGAAATAGGGCCCGGTCAGATGCCCGACCCAGCACTGGGCACACAGCCTCAAGGCCACGCCCCGCACAAGGCATGTTCATTTCTATCTATGTCCACTGAGGCAGGACAGCCCTGGCAGCCGCATCACCTAAGCCTCCATCCTCCCACTGGACCCAGCCCCTCATGGACAAGGACAGCCCTCCTTTCTCTCTTCTCTTCACCTGCTGCTGACTGACGCTCAGGCTGAAGGACCAGAAGGGCGAGAGCATCCCAGCATCCCAAACCACTTGTCCTCCAAGATACCTCAGGCATCTCCCCACCCTTTCTTCAAAGACCTAAAAAAACAGCCACTCCCCCTTCCAGAGGAGAACGCTGCTGCTAATAACCACCCTTCTCACACCCCACAGCAAAGATGAACAGCTCTAATTTATAAGCTGAAAAACACAAACTGAAAGGCATGTGTGCAGTGTTAAGTATTTGGGCTTCTCCCCTCCACGGTCTGTGCCCCCTGTGATCTGTGCGAAGTCACGGCGGGGACAGGAGGCTGCCTGCGAGGTGAGTGGGGAAGCTCGTACTTAATCAGGATAATTTGGGGGTGGCGACAATGACAATGACTAGGGACCTATGAGATTAGAGGGAGAGGGGGAGGGATGGTGACACCGCCGGAAGAGAGAAGGGATTCAATGAAAGGGAGAAACTTGATAAAAGCCTGCCAGGATCCCAAGATCACCCCGGGGACACTTAGGCCACCGTCCTGCTCCCAGTCAGTTCAGACTTTAACTGCTGCGATTCCCCTCGGAGCCAGGAACGGTTTTTGAGTCCAGGGGATGGATTTGCTCACGGGCAAGCGAGGAAGACGGGGAGTGAGAACAGAGGCAGGAGAAGTGACGTGGGGGTGTTTAGGGGGGCCTTTCAAGCCTCCTCGAAGCCGTTAGGGAGGGGACTTGCTCTGTGACCAGGGGACAGAGCAGGAGCCAGGCGGGAACTGGTCCCCGGGATGTGGGTCTTGGCAGGCACTGGCTGGTTGGGGTGTGACAGCCGGAGAGCTTGTGGAGTGACACCCAGACGGACACCGCTCACCCCCGCCGGTGGGGGTCCCATGCTGACTCACGGCAGGAGCTATGGTCCGTCCAGCCATATAGCAGCATCCCCTGCTGGGCGCAGGCCCGGGCGTACTCCAGGAGCACAGGGCAGGGGCACAGCAGCCCCTGGGCACACGTGCACAGCATCCTCTCACACAGGGCCACGAAAGGCTCGGGGTCCACCAGGGGGTGGCAGCGGGCGAACACCGAGGCACTCTTCAGAAGCTGGCACTGCTCCCACAGGTCCTGCAGGAGGGAGAGGCCACCTCAGCGAGGGCGCAACCCACGCAGCCTGGCATCCCCTGACCTTGGTGCTTGGAGACCCACCCTGCCCAGAAACCCAAGCATGCTCGCTCACACCTAGTAGGTGCTTGTCAACATCTGTCAAACGAAACAGTCCAGTCAGTGGAACAGTGTCGGACCCCTGCTTGGTGGGCCAGCCCGAGACCAGGGCGACCTCCTAGATTGAACCCTGGAAATGCAGAGGCCAAGGCCCTGACCTCCACTGGAAGGCAGTGTCCTCTGAAGGGAAAG